CGACGGCGGCTGTAGTAGCTTTCCTCTTCGAAGTTAATTTAGGAAAAGCAATGGCTACCTTTAGAAAGGCTCGTGAATTGTTGATAACAAGTTTTGATGATGGTGACATTTCAGAAGATGAATTTTTACTGTTGTACGATGCCAACACTTCAAAGAATCTCGATTGTCCCTACCAGAATTACAAACATTTTGACCTGGAAGGACTCGACGAAAGTGAGTGCTTGGCAGAGTTTCGTTTCCGAAAGAGGGATATACCTGTTCTCGCAGACGTAATGGGGCTGCCTGATTCGTATACATGTGAACAAGGGACTGTATGTGATGGAATTGAAGGCCTTTGTCTTTTGTTGAGAAGACTAGCGTACCCTTGTAGGTACAGTGACCTAATCCATCGTTTTGGCCGCCCAGTATCAGAGATTTGTATAATCACTAATCATGTACTGGAAACTGTGTACGGCTTACATCATCACTGTCTGACAGCATGGAACCACACCTCAATAAGATGTAGCAGTGTACGTCTGCAGCCTGCCAATAAACTACTGTTTAAAATTTTGGTATTTATTCTGTAGTATTTCTAGTCAGGTCAACTGATGTATAACGACAACTATAATTAATTTCAAAAGGGTTCCGAATCTATTTCAGGGGGTACAAGGTATAACAACACCAGGGAGAGAGCTGAGGAGTAAGCGGACCTTCCCAACAAAATGCTCAGAAAATGCTCCAAATTGCAACAGACCTCCGACCCCTAATATCAATCCTCTTTAATATTACAAAAACGTAGTCAAAAGGCCTCAAAATTTAAACAAAACACGGGGTAGAACCTCTACAACGGGATTTAACGCATTCCTGTTACTCAATGTTTTTCTAAAAGCCTCAAAATGATTTGCGACTGCTGTTGTTGCATGGCAGCAAACATCTGCTGAAACTGTTGCATTTGATTTTGTTGCTGCTGGACTTGCTGGGCCATCATTTGCATCAATTCTTGATGTTGCTTTTGAGACTCATCTTGCTTTCTTCTCTTCACGTCCAGGCGCTGCATCTGCAATTTCAACTCTTCAGCTTTCCATTTCTGATCCATATCATTTTTCTCACGTAGATATGCCACTGTGTCCCCACCACTCTTCCTTGTGACTTTTCGCTTAGGTTGTGCATTCTCTACGTCCTCGACTTCATCACCATCCTTCCTTTTCTGTGTTGAACGCATGCTCTCCATTGCTCTATTCCGCATCTCGCCAGCTTTGACATTATCCTCCTTTTTCTGGTCAACTTCCAGACTGTTTTCAGTATCAGCCTCCTTTTCCAGTATTTCCTCTAAAGCTTTCTCGACGTCACTCATGTCAGTGTGAATTCCGCAGACCTCTTTCTCTTCTTTTAACTTTTTCTTTAATTTTTCAATGAGTAGCGTGTAACGCTCTCTCACCGAGCGCTTATTAACTTTAAATCTTGGAATTTTCAAGGAGTTGAGACTTCTGGCAATTTTTTCCCAAATCTGCCCTCTTGCGATACTTCCCTTTTTAGTTTTGAAGGGCTCTAGAGCCAGAATTTCTTGACAGAGAGAGTGGTCATGGTCATCTGTCCACTCCATGTTGGATCTATATTTTGAGAAAATATAACTTATGTTTAAAAAATCCTGGTGAGTCTGCTAACTAAGCTTCAATTTCAACCACTTAGTTCAGTTCAGAACTCTCTAAAATAAATCAGAGCATTCTTGTTTATGTATGTCGTGGTTCAAATTTTTCTTTGGTTTAAAAATGCTCAAACGACGTTAATTTTGTAATAGATACGAGACAAAGGACGACCCGAATAAAAACTGGTTTGAATCTTTTAAACACAGGAGAATTTGAATCATAACATGGAAAACAGCATAATACAGGTATAATCTTATCTTGTTGATAAATGTTTAACCAATTTCCAGCAGCAAACTATCAGTTTCACGCCGAATCAAAGACGTTTTTTATGGCTNGGAGATGAATAGGATATATGTCTTGTTAAGAAAAACTCAAAGGAACCTGAGTGATACAGATGCATGGAAACAGTATAGCAAACAACGTAATCGTGTAACTAAGATCACGAGAGAAGCTAAAGCTGAAGATTGGAAAGTTAAATTTGAAAGTGCAAAGAGCTCAGGTGACTTTTGGAGGGTTTTACGCCGGTGAAATGCAAGGCAAATCAAAAGGCAATGTGAGTGCAATTAAAAATGAAGATGGAATTATTATAATAATTGCTTAAGACAAGGCTGAAAGCTTCAATGGCTTCTTCTCTAAAGTTGGTGAGAGGCTTGCAAATGATATTCTAACAGATAACAGTGCTAATGAACATCAGCACATTTACCAAATTACACCTACTATTGAGCCAGTACAACTTAATATCCACAAGATTAAGAGGGTTATCGATAAAAGAGTTAAGCCTGGAAAATTATGTGGCCCTTACAACATTACCTCAAGAGGACTGAAACTTGGTGGAGATGCTGTAGTAGTTGGCCTGTTTTATGTGATGGAAGTAAGTTTAAAATCCTCAAGTTACCCTCCTCGATGGAAGCTGAGTGAAGCTGTACCCAAAAAGGTACATAGCTCTGAAAGAGGTGACTTTAGGCCTATTCCTCTATTGTTTGTTCCTAGTAAAGTGTACGACGGAGTAATAGGAGATTCCACTAGGTGCCATTTTAACAAGGGAGGCTTGTCCAGCAAAAGCCAGTGGATTTTTTAAACCGGCAGGTCAACAGAACTCTTAATGCTGCACCTGACTAAAGTTTGGAGACAGAACTGGATAAAAACAAAACTGTGGGGGTACTGTTTATAGACTTTAAAAGGGCATTTGATTCCATTTGTCATAAAACGATGGCCCTCAAACTCCAAGCCTGTGGAATATCAGGGTACCAAAACAATCTGATTGAAAATTACTTATCTGAGAGAAAACAGTTTGTTGAGCTTAAGGGACAAAGATCTAATAAAGTGACCGTTAAGTTTGGCGTACCCCAGGGACAGTTATTGGCCCTAGGCTTTTTAGTATTTATGTCAATGATCTGCCTGAGGTGTGTAGTTGTGGAAAGATAGAAATTTTTACTGACGACAACTCTATATTGTATATGCAATTCCATTGATGATGTCAGCCTTAAGATCCAAGCTTTTTTAACTGAAATAGCCAAGTGCTGTAACAGGTATTGTTTAACAATTCATCCCGATAAAACTGAGGTTATGCCTTTCACCCGTAATGTTTTCATTGGTCCTTTAAGACATAGTTAGTAGAGGGGAACTGGTTATGAAACCCGGAAAACTTCAGAGAAACAACTCTTTATTATGGTTTTTGCGTCGTCACGTGATCACGACCCTGCACACAGAT